GCACTGGACATCTTGCGCAACGAGTGTGAAAGCATCATTTCCGGTGCATTGGTCTGGGCAATAGGTAGCCCTAAGAATAACAACCGATCCTGACCTTCCAACGGAACACACGAGCCCAGGGGAAAAACGGCGGGGGTAGCCCCATCGACATTGAGGACTTTGCATTTCTTAATGTTGACCGCCAGTCCTATGCTGCCAAGGCACGAAACTATGTCACGGAACTTATGCTGGAGTTCACCAGGGGACGAGGCAAAGAGCAACAGGTCATCCGCGTATAACAGAAAATGGGGCAGATCAATTTTCTGCCCCCACCATGGCATTTGCTCCGTCCAACGAGACGGTAGGCCTCGCAGGTGCCAATCAATGACCCGCCCAAATAGGTCGGCGCTGTATGACGACCCTTGCATTACCCCCTGTTGGACGGGGATATCCCAGACACGATCTCCAAGGGACATGGTCAACTTGTTGTCCGTGACTAGTTCCCACAGGCGGGCAACCTCTATCCCCGCACGACATTGCCGGAGATACTGTACAATTGCAGAATGAGCCAGAGAATCAAAGGCCGCGCGGATATCTAATTTCGCCATGTGTATCTGCGAGTTGTGAGCTCGTCTTGTGAGCGCCACCACTGTTTCCGCCACAAAGATGCCGTCGATCGTCTGGGTGTTTTTGCGGCAGCCAAACTGGCCTACCTGGTATGGCGGGCAGAGGTCCGCCACTCGTACCATTATCATGCGCCCATATATCTTGGAGAGCACGGGAGAGAGGCAGATGGGACGCAACTCCCCTGGTTCGAGGGGTTTGGGAACCTTGGGCAGCAAGATGACCTTCGCCCTCTTCCAAGCCGCCGGCAGGGAAACCTCTCCCTTCAGGAGTGTATTGAAGAAAGCCAGTAGTTTACCCTCAGCGTCTTGCGAGAAGTAGGCTTTGACAGCCGCATAGCAGACAGCGTCCATCCCTGTGGAGGTCAGTTTCTTGGCACGTGCAAGAGCCGACTGAAGCTCATCCTCCGTAAACGGGGCAATGGGAGCCACGGTATGAGTGTCAATCATTGCTCGAAGCATCTCAGGCGTAGGAGGTGGGAGTAGAGACCTGAACTTGCTCATGTAGAAGTCCTGGAGCTCCGAGGAGGCTTGCTCCCCACCACCTCTCGCCTGAATGTAACTGCACTCAAAAGAGGACTGCGCTGCGCTACGTCGCAAGAAGGCCACAGCAGCTCGGTCCCCTTGTTTGGCTCTTTCTAGGAGGGACACCTTGTGGGACGTCTTGTCTGCTGCTCGCTGATCCTTGATGGCTTTCAGCTCCGTGCTTCGGCGAACTGGGTCCATCTCTTTCTTGCGCAAACGAATTCTGTGCTTGAGCTCCGGACTGTCAACATAGCGGAGGCTAGGATAACGACGCGAGCTTTCCCGACACACACGCTCCAATCCCTCCTGCGAAAAGGGCACCGACGAATTAGCGAATTCCCGAATTCTAGCAAGATCAGGCAGCCATCTACCGCATGCAAACTGTGGCCTTTTAGGGCGCTGCGCAACAGAGGTAGGAAAGACAAAGGACCCCCAGACTGGCACATGATCTGAGGGCAGAGCCTGGCGCATGTCATCACGGAGATGGAAGCTGACTCGACAGGATGGATTACGGTACACGAGGAAATCTATTTCACTACTGTGCCCACGGGCTGTCCAAGTGTGCCCGCAGGAGTGGTTGAACAGAAGCTCATGGCCCGCAATAAGGCTCCTTAGGTACATCATCCCTGCAAAATCGTCTGAGGAAGCCTGCAGATCCTGATTGGCGTCCATCCCCATCAGAACGAAGTCCTGATAGCGTGCCCCTGCAAAGTGGGGCTCCAGGCATTCACAGGTGTCCTGCCACACCTGCTCAGCATCAGCCCTCTTGGCGTGGGGAAGGTGGACAGTCGTCAACAGGAACTTGCCTAAGGGGTGTTGAGCGTGCAACAAGAGGCCCGTAGGCAAAGGAGCTGTGGATGTAATTCTGAAATCAAGAGCGGCACGAAGCAAGATACCCTGACATCGATGAGCCTTATCAGCGGAAATTACATGCAACATAAATTCTTCTCCGGCCATGCAGAAGGTCGAGTCCACAACGGCAGACCCCACCTCAGGCATGCCCCCTAGCTCCTGCAGAAAAATGACATCGGGAGTCGCCACAAGGTCCTGCCAAAGAGACTGCAGCTCCTCCAGGTGCTTTCCATGCAGATTCCACGTACACACAAGCAGCTGAGGACTACCCCGCCAGCAGGTCTTCCCCCTGCCCCCCCCCCTATTGGGAGGGTGCTACTTCGAAGTGCGCATGTACTGCCTTCAACTCGACATGTAGGAGCTTGGCGACTAGGGGGCCGTCAACCCACCAGCCTGTCTCACGGCCTTTGGCGTCAAGCAAAAGCAAGGCGCCATCTTTAGCCGCCGTCACACCCAC